CAGTTTAGTCACAATCTTACTTGGAAGGGATGAAAGTGTCAGGCAGAGGATCTGATGGCTAATTTGCTTTCTACCCAAAGCATATCCTGCTACCTCCTGAGAGTATCATTTACTACTATCATTTGCAATTGCTAATAATTTTAGAAGACAGCTGTGGCTAGAGCTGTGAAGTCTCAAGGTCTAAAGCATATTTTTGTGTGTGTAGTTCCTAGTTTTCAGGTAAAGTTCTGAACTCATCTGGAGAATGACCTTGCTATGGTTTATTAATAGCTGAGATTAGTCAATTAGTAGGTAAGTAACTAACTACATAAAACTTTTCCTTGCAAGTGTGTAAGAAATGGGAGATAAATAATAGAACTCTTTTCTGTCTTTGTAGGCATGGAAAGGCAAGTATTAGTTAGTTCAGGTGGTATTTTCCCTAAAAGACTAGTAAGAACTCTGCAGGTCTGTGATTCTTAAACTGCTGTGTACATTAAAATAACCTAAGAATGCATGTTAAAAATGCATCTTTGCAGACCGTACTCCTAGTTGTTTTGATTGTAGCGATCTGGAGTGAATAGGATGACTCCCTTTGTAACACTCTCTATTGACTCAGTGTGATGTAGGTCATCCTTAGGCTACACTTTTGAAAAATTCCACCAATCCATCTGTACCCTCCCACCAGGTCTATCACCTTTCAAGCTCCAAACTCGTCACTTTCTGTCCCAGGTTAAAATATAATTCCAGATTCAGTGTTTCCCAAACTCTGGGACACATGCACATTACACATACGTACATCTTCCTGGAGTCTTCTTTGGGGTTCCCATTTTGTATGCTTGCTTCAGGGCCCTAAAATATTTATTATTATATTTTAATGTCCCAAATGATTCTGATACAGAGCTAGAGGTTTGGGTCAGATTGTCCTTGCTCAGCATTGCTCAGACTTACTGATCAAAACAGTCACCTGGAGCCCTGGCTGGTGTGGCTCAGCTGGTTGAGCCTCATTCCATGCACCGAGTCACTGGTTCAATTCCGGGGGTTGTGGACTTGATCCTCAATAGGGGGTGTGCAGGAGGCAGCCAATGGGTATTTCTCTCTCTCTTCATCTCCCTTCCTCTCTCTCTCAAAAAAATCAATAAAAGCATATTAAAAACAAACAATAAAAAACCCAGTCACCTGGAGTGATTGGGTAATTGGATGCCTAGAACTAATGGTATCTTGTGAATGGTTAACAACCAGCATTTTGAAAAATGCATGCATATATATATACACATACATGTGTATTGTATCTTTTATTCACATAAAGGATATGTAGCACATAATTTACAAATGGTAAGAAAATATTTAATACTCATTATTGCAAATACCGATTGCCAATTGATTCTAACAGATGCTTTTGCATACATAGCACACCTATAGGTGTAATTTAGCCATGATTTGACAAGTGAAATTGCATTACAGTCTGCCACTGTTTTTCTAATAAATTCATTATCATTAAATCTGATATGTGATTCACTGTTAAACTACAAAGTATTTCCACCAGAGATACAATTGATGTAAATAACCTCAAATAATAAAATGGAGTAAAACAGTTAGGTACAGTTGCATATTTATTACCTTTGTTATAAATATAATTTATATGTTTATGTCCTTTGGTTTAAAAACAATGACAGTCCCTGGAGTTGAACTTCTATATCCCTTGTCCCAGGTTACCATAAACCAAAATTAAGCCTCACCAGATTTGATTTTGCCAGACTGCTTTCAAGGCAAACACAGTTTTAGTAACTCACTTCTCTTGGTTCCTATTTTCCCTTAGATTTTGGCTTAGCTATTTCTTGGTCTGTAGTTCAGCCTTTCTAGCTAATTTTTGAGACTTTAAGAAGACTACACACACACACATACACACACACATTTTAGCATTACTATTTTTCTGTAGCATGGTTAGTCTGAATAACCTAACCTGCTATTTCACCAGAAATAAAAGCTTGTGACCATTAAAATATTTATATTAATGTTATCAGATTGCTATGCAATTTTTTCATTCAGTATTGTTTGTAAGATTCATCCATAATAAATTGAGCTAACACATTTATTTTTACTTCAGTATAACATTCTATGGTTTGAATATACCACATTTAATGGCCCATTATCCAGATGATAATATTTTCATTTCTAAATTTTTTTGCTATTTCAAAATGTTTCTATTAGCATCCTTACACATGTCTTCTTGTGAACATGCATAAATTTTTTTTCTAGGAAATACACAGTATTTTTATTCATTCGTCCACTGATGGACACTTGGGCTGTTTCCAGATCTTAGCTATTGTAAATAGTGTTGCTAGCAACATGGGGGTGGGTACATATATTCTTTCTGATTGGTGTTTCAGACTTCTTAGGGTATATTCCTAGAAGTGGGATCACTGGGTCAAATGGAAGTTCAATTTTTAATTGTTTTGAGGTGACACCATAGTGTTTTCCATAGTGGCTGCACCAGTCTGCATTCCCATCAGCAGTGTACTAGAGTCCCCTTTTCTCCACACCCTTGCCAGCCTATAGCTTCAAGAAAATAAATTAATTATTGGAATGAGGAAGAATGAAATAAAAACTTATTATTCAAGATGATAGTAAAAACATTAGATCACTATATGGTAAAATAGAAGTAAAACAGCTCCCTTCATTAAAAAAATTCATTCCAGTGAGATTAAAGGCCTACTGTAAATGGCACATTTTAGAATTATCAGAAGTTAATAGGACTGTCTCTATAGCCTTATGACTTCATAGGAAAGTCTTATTATACAATACATAAATTATAAATTATATAGAAACAGTTTGGTAATTTGACCACACACAAATCCATAGAAGACATTACTGAGAAGGCAGAAATACAACATAACATAAATAACGATCATAACAATCATTTTATTTTTAATGATCTTTTCCTTATCCTTAGTACATAAGATAAGTGAGAAGATAATACTGTTTTTCTCCTTTAATGGTGTAAGTGGTGAATTATACAAATAGGTTATTTTTTAAAAAGATTTACCATTTATGTATTTTTGTATATGGTTTAAGAAAGTGGTTCAATTTCCCAGCACTATTGAAGATTTTTATCCCATTGTATAGTCTTGTCATCATTGTCATAGATGAACTGACTACATAAACATGGGTTTATTTCTGGGTTTTCTATTCTGTTTCTTAGATCTATGTGTCCGTTATGCCAGTACCATCTGTTTCGATTCATCAGATAGTACAATACTTCAGACTTTGATCTTTTTTTCTGAAGATTGCTGTGGCTATTTGAGGTATTTTGTGGTTCCATATAAATGTGAGAATTAATTTGAGAATTATTTGTTCTAATTCTGGGAAGAATGCCATAGCTATTTTGATAGTGATTGCATTGAATCTGTAGACTGCTTTAGGTAGTATAGACATTTTAAAGATGTTAATTTTTCCTATCAATGAGCATGGTATATCCTTCCATTTATTTGTATCTTCAGTTTCTTTCTTCAGTGTCTTATAGATTTCCACTTGTATCCATCAGAAAGTGTGGAATAGAGGAAAACTCTGAACAAGACTCTCAGAAAAGAATATTAGTACGGTCATTGTCCTGTATTATGTGCATGACACATTTTCAGCTCTAACTGAGAATCTGAGGGTAGGTCTGCAAGCGTAACATAAAATAAGTTTGGATGATGAGACTATCAGTACATTCAGACAAATTTATAATTGATTATTGTCACAGTTAAATAATTGTGCAGCGGATTGCTTCAATCGCAGTTACCAGGCACAAGATGTGACAGTAGCGTGGATGCAATAGCCTCACCTCTGCCAACTTTCCCTGCGCCGTCACTATGCCCCACCAGCCGCTCCTCTAACGACTGAGTATTGATCTGCATGCCTCTCCCAAAAATGGCGTGATTGATACGAAAATAACCTTCCAGGATCAAAGAGGACCATTGTTCGATCAAGGGTATGAAAACCATAGAACTTAAAGAATGGATAACTAAAAACTTTTAGTTCACGTCAATTTGCTGGAGAAATGAAATTATTGGCTGTGCCCTTGTATTATTTTAAACAGTTGTTCTATTGGCTCTGAGAGCTCTACCTGGATTAGCTTTCTAGTCTTCTTTGAAAAGGGGTTTCAACTCACAAGCACTGGCAATATGATGCCCATAAGACAGAGGCAATCAGAGTAGGGGAATCTTTATGTTGCAGCCAGTTTTTAATCTGTGTGTACCATTCACTGAAGTGAGAAACAGAGCATATAGGATGAGCATGTTCACCAGGATATTGGAGAGTAGAGTTTGTTGCAATTGTATTGTGTTCTAAATTTACATTCTTTATGCATAAGAAGCTTTCCAGAGGGATCAGGTGAGTAAGCCTTAGACTAAGATTCCTGGAGTTGCTTTTTATATGAAATAATTCCCTTCTAGTATGTACTATTATATGAGAAGTATCCCTTGGATGATTTGCCTAGTTCAGAGTTTGGCAAGCGGTTGCCCCCAAAAGGTGTGTGGTGCACAGAAAACTAATTTTCAGGATTGTGTAGGTATCTCTTTTGCTTTGCTATTCACACTGGATGACCTAACTTTATCCCTATTGAATTCTTTAAACCAATTTGTCGGATTAGTTTTATATTAGTTCATAATGCATTCGTTGATGGAGGACCCTTGGTTATAAGTATTTTCTATATTGTTCAATAGCCCTATACAGTATTTTAATTCTAGTATGATACAGCAATTCTATACTTGGAATCTTGTCTGGAATTAAGCATCAAGTAAATTTGCACGGCTGGTGTGGCTCAGTGGTTGACCCATGCACCAAGAAGTCACCGGTTCAATTCCCGGTCAGGGCACATGCCCAGGTTGTGGCCTAATCCCCAGTGGGGGGCATGCAGGATGCAGCCAATCGATGTTCTCTCTCATTGCACTTCTCTCTCTCTCTCCCTCTCTCTCTCAGACCCTTCCTCGCTCTCTAAAATCAATAAAGAAAAAAAAATTTGGAAAAAAAAATCAAGTAAATTCAAAAGTAATTATTTCTTTTATTTCAACTCTATAAAGTATACAACAGGCACTCGGCAATTACAGCTGCAGGAAAAATACAGAGCAAATCAAAGCAGGTTAAGTTTATGAAAAAGTTTTAATCTACACCAAAAGAGTGCAAGTGGTCAGTGACCATCTGATGACAGTTGTTGCATTCAGACTAACAAAGAACTCTTTCATGTAGAACAAATTGGTAAGAGGACAATCAAATAACCATAGCTGTAAGAGTACAAAAGAACTGACCAGTTGTAAAAACATCATACATTGAAATAAATTTGATACATGATGCTCAAAGAACTGTCCCTTTACTTGAAAAGCCCAAACCTCGGAGTCATTGTCAAAGTCGCAGAGCTGTGTCTGTTGATGCAGGGGCCGCTAGGGAGGACGGCTAACAACACACTCTCAATGTTTAGCTTTCTAGGTCTGTCGAAAACTTGCCTCATAAATGATTTGCATATGCAAGAACTCGGAGAAAGCATCCTGTTTTGTTGAGTGGTGCACCAAGGGTTTTCATCATTGGTTTTATAACAAGGTTTGGTTAGCAGTCATCTTCTAATTTTTCTTTTGAATTGGACCATTGTAATGGAATCTATAAAATAGATTAGAACTGGATAGTACTAATTTTTTTTTTTTCAACTGAATCTGCACAGCTTAGCAAAACAGGAATACCTGTATACAGACTGGTAGTATGTCATATATTAATTTGACCTGCACATACATTTATACATTTCACAGAAATGACGCTGTATCTCATTAACAGATACACAGCTCTGGTACATTTAACAGAAATAAGAGAACAACTTCATCATTTCTGTAATTCATCAATATTATATAATAAAGTCTTATAAATTGTTAGCAGAAAGAACTGTAAAACGCAGCAAGCTAAGAAAGGACAACATTTTGAGGTGTGTTTGTCTTTGTCATGCAGCATAACACCAAATTTGTTTTTGTTTTTTTATTAATAGGATGCCATGAATTTAAGGCACTTGCAACAATGCCAGATAGCCAGGTCATGTTCTAAACTATGGGACAGATGAAAAACAATACAGTTGACATAATTTTCAATCATACTGACAATTATGACATTAATTCAAGTCTACTTAGACCCCAAAACATTATTCAATACAAATAAAATGAAATAATAATGCGTGAAACACTAAAAAAAGTTATATGTACCACAAAATATCACACAAAAATATCTATTTACATAAATATTTGTCTGTGGTCCTATTGTGAAATAAAACATTGTTATGGATCACCTCTACGTTATGAAATCATTTCTAATATCCTTAATTTCAACATGGTAATTGACTTCTTGTGATTTAAGTTTACCATCAGTGGAGTCATTTAGAAATGAAACAAGGAAAATTCAATAGCTAAAATTATATATTACACATGTGTAGTTCACATGCATATCCCATACCTTTAAATAAAAATTATGACTTGTAAAGAATATAATCAAAATAAGTGTTTTAAATGTCACATGGATCTGATTTATATATTAACAAAGAAGGTACAAACATAAAAATCATTTATAGCAATTTTCCAGAAATCATTTTTTCTAATATATTCAATCTACCTCATATACACTATTATGATGTTTCTTTTGTTGGCAGTTTTCAGTTTTCCCGTAAGTCAAGATACACAGAAAGCCCTATTTCCCATACTGGAAGTATTAACAAGAAAGTCAGTTAACAACTCAAACAGGTTGTCCCTCTCTTAACTCATCCAGATGTCCTTTAGTGTAGGAAAATAGAGAGGGGGCATGAAAAATTCACAAGTGAAGTGAAACACACTTTATGAAGCTGACCATGAATTTTAGCCCTACTGTCTTCATTGAGACAAAATTTAAATCCTCAAAACTCAATGTAGGCAATCAAATGAATGTTCTCTGTTAGTACTTCTTGGATGATGTAGTTCACTTTAATGTTTGGGCGATTGCTTTAGAGAGCCTAATGCAATTCCACAGATGAAATGAACAAAGATGCAATAACAAGTGTGAGGAATGACCTGTAGGTCTGTTTGCTGAATACTGCCCATGGGATTTGCATGTATTGGTTGTCTTAGACTTGAACCACAGCTCCAAAATTCATAGTTAAGTGCCAATCTCTGGGGCTATTGAGCTATTTGAAAAGTTGCAGGAGCAGATTCTTTTTACTTAATGATTAGGTAAATTTAATATTCTAGCACTCCTTTAGCATGCCTACTTCATTCTTTTTCAACAAAAATTACCAAACATAAACTATGATGTTCAAATTATCTATCTTTAAAATCCCAATGGAAAGTGATATAAATCGTCTACATTAGAATTTGTTGCTGGATTGTAGGTTGGTGTATTTAATTAATGTAAGTAAATATTCTAAAATCTGTAGAAGGAAGTGGATATCTTGGGGAATAGATTGGTTTTGAGAAATTATTTGTAAGGGAGAGAGAAACTCCATAACACAAAAAATAATATCTTAGAATCAAAGTTTTAATTTAATTCTAATTATATACTATGCCCTTAATACTTTAATTCTCCAAATATTTCTTAGATTATTATATTTTTAGAAGATATATTCTAAAGTAGCCTTACTATGAAAAATTCAAACCAAAATAAAAATATATCCTTCTTGGATACAGTATAACGATCTAGGTGGACATATTATTTTGCAGAAATGTCTATATTTGTTTGACTTTTTAAAAAACAACTCTACTGGAAAAATGCAAACCCCTATGTAATATACCAAATTCACACACAGTTCCAAATCAGGATGACAGCCTGTAAGGCTATGCATTTGTCGGAGCAGATATAATTCTATTTGTCCAGGAAAAGCTTCCCAGTGGTTCTGTTACTTATGACAGCTAATAATAGTCAACTGGCCTCCCAGCAAAGGACTCCGTTTAAATTGCTGATTCTTTTCCCCATGGGAAAAAAGCAAATCAGTTTAATATTTTCAAATCCAATCTTTTCTAGGTAGTACGATATTTTAGGACTGTAATATTTTTGTTCTATTTAGCTAACCTTATTTTTAAAAACTCAGATTCCTATTCTTTCTATTTTCACAAACACATGGATTCATATCAGCAAATTCATGAAAAGGTAATCAATACCTGGCCAAGTTCTTGTCTTGTTTCCCAACGTCACCTAAGTAAGGTTACTCTTCTGGCGAATCTACGAATCTCTTGTGCTTCTTTCCTCCTCCTCCTCCTCTTTTTATTTTTATTTTTTTCTTTTGGTTCAGGCCTAAGACAAGAGCTAGTTCAAATAGTTTTTAATCAGCCTTCTCCCTCAACCCTAGGTTATGTTGTATACGTGAAATCTGACAGGAGTTTGGTTTGGTGGATTTGGTGAAAATGCTTGAGTCTCTGGCTACACATGTAATGGTTAGAATTTGTGTTGTCTGTTCAGACACTGACATTTACAGATGAGAGATATACATAGCACCTATATAGTTTATTTTTATTTTTTGGATGAATCTTGATCCCTCTCCATCCCGCCCCACCCCTGACCCCAAGGGTTTATTTTTATAAAAGGGAATATTTTAAGCCTCAGTTTGAGGGTGTGTTAGGTCATAAATAAAAAACAATTGGCTGCTAGTCACTTATTTCCAGGACCATCTTGAAGCACAATATTTTTTAAAAATATGAAATGGTTGTGAATTGTTTTTTTTTTTCCACTCTGCCATGCCAATTTATCAAAAAGAAACAAATATCATGCATGTTGTTTTTTCTTCCATTCTCTGTGAAAAACGCATATATACCTGCTATGAGAGTTCTCAGCAGACTCCATAGCAGTTGTGCTTTTAACATACCAATTTTTTGAATCTGTCAGAAAGGAAAGGTAACATTCAGTCTTGTCATCAGCACGGCTGGGAAATGAAATCATGAAACTTCTAGCACTGGTTTGACATGAACTCTGTGACCAGCGAATGTGTGGTCCTCTGTTACACGGTATGTACACCGGCCTGCGGTAATAGATCCTACAACCCTCACCCGAAGAAAGGGAAGAGCCCAGTTTTGGTACCATAGAAATCTGTCGTACCCAGGATATTATTTTTGATCTTCTTGATAATTCTGGCAAGGTACAGACTCTTTTACTAGATTGAAGTGTTTCTTACTGTCTTTTGAATTATAATCAGAGCGAAGCAAGATCGTTGCAATAATAGAAAACATCTTTTTACTGGTGAAAGGCTTTGCTTCAGGACCACCATGTCAACTGCTATTTTTAGGTTCCAACAGAAAACATGTAAAGAGCACTATTGTCATCTAAGCAATAAGTCCTAATGCCACTGTAGTTACTGGAGCAGCATCGATCAAAGGCATCGTGGTGACCCCGAGCACTAATCTTCTCTCTTTCCCTCAGGTTTGCTGGCAGCTGTGTCTCAGAAAAAGCTGTCTTCAGCAAGGCAGAAGCAGGTAAGAGAAATACATTAGAAGTCTATGTCCCATCCTGAGTTGTCATCAGGTGGTGGCTCATCATTGTCCTCAGGGAAACTGTCAAAATTGCTTGTGTCTGTGGGTGATGCAACCTAGGAATGAGAGAATGAACAGTAAAAAGTCTGATTTTTTTTAAAAACCCTATGATATATTTTTTAAAAATAATGTTTCATTATTAATTTGAGAGAGAGAGAGAAACATCAATGGGAGAATATCGATTGGCCACCTCCTGCATGCCCCCCACTGGGGATTGGGCCCACAACCTGGGCGTGTGCCCTGACTGGGAATCAAACTGGTGACCTCTTGGTGCATGGATCAATGCTCAACCACTGAGCCACACCGTCCGGGCCTGTGATAGATTCTAAAATAGCATTTTTTATTCATTCCCTAATCAAATGACTTTTTTGGATGTCTCCTAGGTAGCAGATTTTATGCTTTGTTGTATTGGGGGTCACAGTGGTGACTACAAGTAAATATGGTTCTTGCCCTCATGGAGTTTGTATTCTAGTAAGGAATATGTTGTGTGATTATAATTATTTGATCTTTTGTGATTATTGGTTTTACAGTTTGGTTAGTACCATGGGGAAAAAAAAGATGTTGTGATAATATAAGGATCATCATGGAAAGCCTCTTTGAAAAAGTGTTATTTTAAACCTAATAATCAGTGAGTTCAATAACAAGGAAATAGCATGTGCAAAGGTCTTGAGGTGACAGTGCTCTGTGCTGAATTAACCAAAAGAGGCCGCCATGGCTGCTGTATGAGCAAGAAGCGGAGTGGGAGGAGAAGAAGAAAGAGGGCAGAGTCGGGTTACATCGAGCCCTGCACATCTTATGGATTCTGTGGATTTATTCCAAGGATAATAATAAGCCATTTATAAAGTCAAGCAAAACTCTTGGCTCTTTTACTGGGCAAAGTTCAATCTGTAGAGCATTGGTAAAAGCAGCAAAGAAACACATTTTGGTTTCTCTCATTATAATATTTAAAACCATTTACAGATAAAAATGCCCCATTTAATATTACCATTGCATACAAGGAGACCCCCGATAGTTTAGGATAGTTAAGGCTTAATATTTTTATTCCTACAAGTTTCTCATTCTACTCTTGTTCTAAAAACAAAACATGAATGCAATTAGAATCTGTAATGTGAGACATGGCAATGGCATTTTTGTGTTGTTTGTGAATAAACATAAACATTAGCACAGAAATAAATCTTAGAAGTAAGGAAACGTTTCTGTATAAAGAGCAGTCTTGCCCTGGATGGTTTGGCTCAGCGGTTAGAGCGTTGGCCCGTGGACTGGAGAGTCCTGGGTTCGGTTCCCACTCAGGGCACATACCTTGGTTGCAGTTTGTCCCTGGCCCCGGTTGGGGTCATGTGGGTGGCAACTACTTGATGTGTCTCTCTCATATTGATGTTTCTTTCTCTTCTTCCCTCTCTCCCTCCCACTCTGTCTAAAGATAAATACCAAAAGTGTGCTTGGGTGAGAATAAAAAAATAAAATAAAAAGAAAGAGCAGGCTTGAGTTAGTCCCAAAGCAGGACATACATAAATGAAGGGATCAAGACCATAAAGCAGTCCTCTCCTCTTAGTTAATATGTAGCACATTTTATTAGACATAGTCAGTATTGAATCAAAATATAAACTCAATCAATTGAAATCTATTTCAAGTTAATATAGTGTAAATACCTTTGTCCTCTTAGTGGACTGGCTAACAAAATTTTGATATGTTAAGAAAAGGAAGTTAAAAGAAGAGGAAAGAGAATATTTTCATTGCTTTTCTAGGGCTTGCTGGGAGAATAAAAGAACACAGTTATGCCTAGGAGTGCCTCAAAGGAATATGGGGGCAGTATGCGATCTTTTAATGGCTGAGTACTATTCTATTGTATATGCATAAATGTCTTTATCCAATCACCTGTCAGAGGACACTTAGGTTGTTTCCATGTCTTAGCTATTGTGAATAATGCTGCAATAAACATAGGGATACCTTTATGAATAAGTGTTTTTAAAATTTTGGGGGTAGGTACCCAGAAGAGGGTCATACAGTTGCTCTATTCTTAATTTTTTGAGGACACTTCATATTGTTTTCCATAGAGGGTGCACTTCATATTGTTTTTCATAGAGGGTACATTTCCACCAGCAATGTACCAGAGTTCTCTTTTCTCTACATCCTCTCCAACACTTATTTCTTGTCTTGTTGATAATAGTCATTCTAACATGTGTGAGGTGGTGTTGCATTTCCCTCATAATTAGTGAAGCTGAGCATCTTTTGATATATCTGTTGGCCATGTATATGTTTTCTTGGGGAAAAGTCCTCTGCCTATTTTTTAAATTGTTTTTGTTCATTATATGCTTTGGATATTAGAACCTTATTAAAAGTAACATTTGCAAATATCTTCTCTCATTCGTTTGGTTGCCTTTTGTTTTGTTGATGGTTCCTTTTGCTGTGCAGAAGCTTTTTAGTTTGATGTAGTCCAATTCATTTATTTTTGCTTTTACTTCTCTTAGTTTTGTGGTCAAGTTCACAAAACCCCTTTGAGACCAAGGTCCATAGTTAGTACCTATGTTTTCTTCTAAGTATTTTATCGTTTTAAGTCGTTTATTCAAATATTTAACCTATTTTGAGTTTATTTTGGAATATTGTGTCAGATGGCAGTGTAGTTTCATTCTTTGGCATGCGACTTTCCAATTTTCCCAGTGCCATTTATTGAAGAGACTTTCCTTTCTTCATTGTATGTTTTTGGACACTCCATTGAAAATTATTTGCCCATATATGTGTGGGTTAATTTCTGGGCTCTTAATTCTTTTCCATTTTTCTGCCAGTACCATATTGTTTTGAATATTGTGGCTTTGTAGTATAATTTGAAGACAGGAAATATACAGGAACAAGGAAGGAGGAATTACTGGTGGTGGGGGGGGCAGCATAAATTCAACAATATTCGGCAGGAATCATAAACAAAAAATAACATACATTGTCCTAACTCACCCAAGTATACTCACATACATACTGTATCTTATGTAGAGAGAACACATATGTGAAGAATTTAAAGTATAAATATTTCTGGTAATAATTCATGAATATGACTCATTAAAGTTAATGTATTCTTATTCTTGAGTAATGATGTATAAAGTTTATAATGGGGAGAAAACAACATCAGGTTGATAGAGATTCATTATACTCCTCTGTCTATATCAATATATATTTAACACTTACCATACTAAAAGTCAACTTTTATTCACAAATAAAAGAAACTTAACTTACAATGAATAGTTTAAAAAACGTAACTGTAAAATACATTTATAATAACCATCCCCTAGCTCATCTGTTTTTAAGCTTGGATTTTAGATGTAATTATTTTAATGTAACTTCTATTGTTTATTTAATCTGATCATAGGATAAAACTTTAAAAATAACAGATCTCAGATGATTGACAAACGAAAGTCTACTCACACTTGGTATTATAGGAGGTGTCAAGGTGCCTTTTCTTAAGCCTTCCCAATTAAAGCCCTCAAACCATCTAGAAAAGGGAAAAACAAGTGTGAGTTAAAAGCATTTTACCTCAGTTAAAACCTTCTCAATGCAACATCTGTGATGCCCATGACTGATGGAAAGCAGGCAAAAATCCTTTCTATTTAATTGCAGATTTTTAAAAATTAGCTTATTTTCTGGAATGCATCTTTCAAAAAATTGAATTGTCAAATCTTTAAACACCGTTTAGAAAGCAGCTCCTTTTTACTCTAGTAATTTCAGTCATAATGTCTGTATGACCTTGTTCCTATACCATCATTATAATTTTAAAAGTGTCATGACATGCATGGTCCTGTGTCTCAGAGAATATTTTATTTTAAGGATGTAGAATCAGGCATGAAAAGTCAGGACAGAAAAAAACAAAACAAAACTATCTTCTTGTCATTGCCACTAATTCATTAGACAGCTAATTAACCTTTCACATCTCCTTTTCCTCCTTTTTTAATACATTTTCCTCCTTTTTTTCTGTACAGTTTTTTTTGTGAAAATGTGGACCAAATAACATGAAGGTTTTTTTGTGTGGTTGTGTTTGTGTCTTTGAAATAGTTCACCATTAGCAAATGCTTATACCAAACTCTTAGCAGACCTTTGAGATATTCATAGGTATTTTGGTATATAAGTTTCTTTGGTAGGAATGTGAATTTCCTGTGAGTGCTACAGAAACAGACAACTAGAAAAAAAACAGTTTGCTCTTAGATTAGCTCTAGAACATCCATCAACATGCATAAGGCCTGACATTTAAGAAGCTCTATTTTTTTTTTTGTCATATTATCTAATTAAAAAATGGTTGGAAAATATATTTTACGGCTAGTCTAGGCAATATGACATGGTGTGGTAGAGAACTTTTGTTTTTAATATTCTGGTAAGGAATAGAATCCCAGAATTAAATATACCTTTCCTCTGGCTAATTGCATCAGCCATACAACCAACTTAAACACATACACACGGCCTAGGAAAATACTTGTCAGGTTTTCTGAACCCTCAAACTTAAAAGTGCAAGGAAATGATACTTGCTTGTGCTTTTGGATGTCTTTCACTCCATTTTTCAAATTTCCTAATCTTTCAGATGGATTGTCCCTAAAAAAAAAAAAATAATAATAATAATAATTGATAAGAAATCTAATTTTTTTCCACAAGCCTTTTAAAAAAATAATATGGTTGAAATACTTACCTGCAGAGTTTTTTAATTAAATTAGCAGCATTTTTGGCAATCTTCTTTGGAAATTCGATCATGTCGATCCCTCTCAATATGATGTTGTATGTTTTCATAGGGTCGGGGCCTGAGAAAGGTGGGCTGCAGGAATGAGAGACATGAAAACAGATGCTACTTTTATTTTCCAAATAAGGAAACTTGAATTGTTATAACTCCATAAATGACATCAATTCTTATTTGGGGAGCTTATATTGGGATGATGATGGGATAAAACTTGATTAATCGCAAAACAGTGTGGAAACCTTTCTAAGTAAACTACTTAGCAAAGCCACAAACGGGTCAAGTTTGTCTGCTGTTCCTCTTATTTTAGTGTAGGCATCTTACTCCTTTCGATGTCCTTTGTCATCAAGGTGTCTCTTCCACTTTCTGGTATTGATCATGTCACTGAGCACACTTTGGATCACGTTCAAAATTTTTAGGATAGTCTACAAGCGCATCAATGATAGGACTCCATTTTAGGGTACCACCAGCCTCTGTTTCTCTGAAATACTAAGCCATTGTCTCACTCAGCATGCTGTGTATTTTACCCAGAAGATTCTTGCCAAGTTAATCTGGCTAATGCCTCACTTGTGAGGTTTTAGCTTAAGTGTCATATTGCTTCCTCAAAAAGGTCTACTCTAATCCACCTAACATAACCAATCACATACCCTTAACCAACCAATGTAACATAATCTAATAATCGAAGACTAACTTTATCTAAATGAGGGTCCCTGGTCATACTTCTTTCTTTTCTCCTTTTGACAGCACCCTTTTTGTTACTTACTATGCTTTGCAATCACTTCATTAGTGTGATGATTTGTTTTATTTGTTCCTCCCTTCCAGCCTGAATTTTGCTCTCCACCGGGTATTCCTGGAGTCCAGATGCCCAGCACACACTAAGTTATCAGTGAATATATGTTGAACTAATGCTTCTTTGGAATAGTGCTCCTCCTATCCTTTGCTCCCTGTTGATCAGTGCTCAGTAGCTAACCTAACACAGGACATCCTCTTTGTTAGGAAAAATGTAATACCCAAGTCCTCATGAGCCAGATCTCGTTTTTGTTTTTCTTTTTTAAATCTATCCATCCTTGGGATGTGGCTTTGTGCCAAGATAAGGGAATAAAGAGATTCCTTTCCATCAGATTTCTTAGTTCAAACAGAACAATATGGTATGCAGTACCTTGAAAAATAATATTCTCCTAATACAGGGAATAATGTCTTTGGGAAAAATATTATGGATTATTGTTTTGTCCATCATGTTTATTAATAGCAGCAGTTCAGCTTATTTCCTTCTATTGAGCAGGCTACAAACAATTAGCTGCTTAAAATAGGGAGTAAGTAGTAGTTTGCTCGTGCTGAGAACTGTGATGCTATCTGCCTTGAGTTTCTGTCCCAATTTTCTTTGACAGTCACTTTCTATTTCCTTTAATATGCCATTAGCTAGTACTTTAACCTGTCCATTTCAAATCACGTTTTAACATTTATAAACATGCAATTCTACTTAATATTCCTTTAACATTTAAATGGTTTCTTTCTTGTGATGTTATAATTCTATTTTCTCTCTTAAGTTGCCAGTTTTAACTTTTCACTTTAAAGATGAGGCAGAAGCACATCTTAGATTTCTGGCTATCAATTGAATGTGTTGCTAATATATATTTTTGCTTTTGTATTTATCTGTTGATTTTAGAAAGACAACAAAAATCATTGATTGTCTTATATAACTAGAGTTACCAAAGCTTGCTTTCCGTTTCCATTTGCATGGAGTAACTTTTTCCATTTGTTCACACCTAACATTGGAAGTGAGTCTCTTGTAGGCAGCTATACATGGCTCTTGTTTTCTTTGTTATTCGGTCAGCCTCTCTGTCTTTTGATTTGAGGACTTAGTTTACTTACATTTTAAAGTAACTATTGATAGGGCTGATTGCCATTTTGTTAATTTTGGGGGGATGTTTGTACTTCTTTTTCTCTTGCCCTTTTCCTTTCTGACTTAGAGTTTCTTTAGTGGTATCCTTAAATTCATTTCTCTTTATCTTCTGGGTATCGATGTATGTTTGAGCTTTATGGTTATCATGAGGCTTAACATACTTGCAACAGCTTATGTTAAGTTGATAACAGTTTGTTTGAATGCATCCTAAAGATTTGCGTTCCCTCTCCCAATACTTTATATTTCTATCACCCTGTATACCCTTTTATCTTGTGTATCCCTTAACTATTAATTATAGTTATTGTTCATTACTTTTGTCTTTAACCTTCATACTAGCTTTAAGTGATTATAGTTTTACCATATGTTTACCTTTACCTGTGACATTTTACTTCCATACGTGTTCTTGAATTGAAAGAAAGTACCCTTTCTTTCTGTTTAAACAAGTCCCTTAACTTTTTTTGTAAGGCTGGTTTACTGGTGATTAACTTCTTTAATTTTTGCTCATCTATAAAACTCTTTCTCTCTCCTTCAATTCTGAATAACAACTTTACTAGGTGGAGTATTCTTTGTTGGGAGTTATGTATTTTCTTTCCACGTTTTGACATGACACTCCTTACTGACAGGTGTGAGATGGTGTTGATTTGCATTTCCCCAATGATTAGTGATGTTGAGCATCTTTTCATATGTCTATTGGCCATCTGAATATCTTCTTTGGAGAAATGTCTTTTCATGTTCTTTATTATTTTTTATTAGATTGTGTGTGTGTGTATAAATTTTTGTTTTGTTATTGAGTTGTATGAGTTCCTTATATATTTTGATAGAAACCCCTTATCGAATATATCACTTGTGAATATATTCTTCTATTCAGTATTTTGTCTTTGTGTTTTGTTGGTTTCCTTCACTGTGCAGAAGCTTTATAGTTTGATAAAGTCCTATTTGTTTTTTGGTTGTTGTTTTGTTTTTGTTGTTGTTGTTGTTTTCTTTTGTGTCTCTTGCTTGAGAAGACATATCCAAAAAGATATTACTAGACTGGTGTCAAATAGTTTACTACCTATGTTTGCTTCTAGAATTTTATGGTTTCAGGCCTTACATTTAAGTCTCTAAATAATTGAGTTTATTTTGTATATGGTATAAGTGGTCCAGATTCCCAGTACCACTTGTTGAAGAGACTTTAATTTCTCCATTGCATATTTTTGCCTCCTTCGTTGTAATTTGGTTGACCCTATAAGCAAGGGTTTATTTCTGGGCTCTCTATTCTGTTTCATTGATCTATGTGCCTGCTTTTATATCAGTACCATACTGTTTTTATTATAGCTTTGAAGTATAGCTTGAAATCAGGCAGTGTGCAACCCCCAACTTTGTCATTCTTTTCCAAGATTGCTTTGGCTATTTGTGGACTATTTTTGTACTACATACATTTTAGGATTATTTGTTCTAATTCTGAGAAGAATGCCATTAGTATTTTGACAGGGGTTACATTGATTCTGTAGATTGCTTTGGCTACGATGGTCATTTTCATGATATTAATCCTTCCAGTACATGAACATGGCATATCCTTCCATTTATTTGTGTCCTCTTCCATTTCTTTCTTCAATGTTATAGTTTTCGGAGTACAGGTATTTCACCTCCTTGGTTAAATGTATTCCTGGGTATTTTATTCACTTTGATGCATTTGTAAATGGGATTTTCTTAATTTCTTCTTCTTATTGTTTATTATTAGTGTGTAAGAATATGAGGAGTTTCTGCATATTAATGTTGTATCCTGCTACTTTACTGTAACAGCTCTGGCCTGGGAAGTACTGGCATTCTGGAGAGCAGTAGTAACAGAGCACAGAGATGGTGCCCATGGTGCCCACTGTCTTCAGCAAGGCAGAGGAGAGCACAGATGTGGGAGACTTTTTGCATGGCATCCATTCTGTTACAATCTGCTCTGCCATCTCCGGCCCCAAGGCAGGGTCTCTCTGCATACAATGTCTCTGCATTCCTCTAGATAATTGTTTACTCTGCTAGCCATTCTTTGCTTATCATTTGTTCCACCTGGAGTATTTACTGGAATTTGCTTCAGGTGGGATACTCATTAACTGTTTCACCCGTTTTTCCCCTATATAGTATGTGAACTCCCCCTGAATAAACGAGACTTGATCAGAACCCTGTCTTGTCTCCATTTCTCGTGTCTCTTGTCCCTCCTCATCCTCACTCCCCCTCTAGAGTCCTCGTTGCTTGACCTGTGGGACGGGTCACCCAAAGATGACACAAGCCACGAAGGGGAAAAAAACAACAAAGAAAAAGCATACAATTAAATAAGATGGCATTCACCAACTGCAGCCAAGTGGAGGGAGAGCACAAACATTGTACCTGCTGGTCTCTCCTGGAGGGCCCCTCAGCAGGCTCCCCACTGTGTGTTTATCAGATCTTTGCCACTCAGGCCAACACTCCAAGCCATACAAGGGAGTGTCTCCCACACAAGGTCTGGTACCCCTCCACTGGCTGCTTCTGCTCTGGGCCCTGAGGTGAGTGGGCCCGAGTGCAGGAGTCCTTTCAGACATTTTCACATCAGTGTAGCCTTCTCGGTCTCATGGATGTGAGGCATGTTGGTTTTCAGAGCTAAATGGGTGAGGGGCTCCTCATCATTCAGGTGCAGGTCTTAAAGGTGGAGGTGCTCATTATGGGGTTCAAACCCTATGTTATGCCATCTAAAGCTCTGGGGTTTGAATTTTATCCCAAGTATGGGTTGCTGCACCAGGAGTGGGCTTTATACCAAGATTGTGTTCCAGACTCTCCTACCCTTTCAACATGGGCCTTCTCTCATTCACCTGATGTATAGGAATTGCTTAGCCAGTTCTTAATGTTTTTTTCCCCAGCAAAAGTTGTTCCTTATGTAGCTGTATATTGGGTGTGTTCATGGAAGGAGGTGAGTTCAGAATCCTCTTACATTGTCATCTTGAATCATATCCTCCTAAGTGCCTTTATTTCTCCTCATAAGTACTTTTTATGTTATAAGTACTTATGATAATAGATTAAGTTCAGCTTTGGCCATACTACACAGATTGTAACTTATAGTGCTTCGTTTTTATTACTGTTTTGCTATTCCATAATTTCTATGACCTTGTGGTTATCTACAAATGTGTTTGGACTTATTTTAAAATTGTCATATAAATTTATAATTTCACTATGGCCATCAGATAATATAACCTGTGAAATTTCTATTTAAAACAATGAAAAATTCTTCTATTAAGAATGTCTTTAGAGTTCAGTATGTACCAATTTTTAACAATATGGTTTTACTTTTTTTTCTTTAAAAATGTTTAAATGCATAAGGACAAATAGAAATTATCACGGTTAACATTTTAATTTTTAGTTAATAGTTTTCTTCCATTCATTATAAAATTGGTTTCTATAGCAAGTCAAAGAATACCAGAAAGATCACCTATCCATCCACAAACATGTTAAATTCAATGTTTTCTTTTATCCACATATTTTATATATTTACACGTCTGCTTAATTTGTCATATATTTAAAACAGTTTATGCCAATGGCAAATGTTAAAAAAAATTGGGATATGTCACAGATAACTGAAACTCAACATAGATGTTTCAAGAGTAATAATTTAAATAAAATTATAAGCACAGCATCACTATTCCTGGCACTGATAGGAAGCACACCGTAGATGCTAACAGCTACTATGTTCTAACATTCTTCTAAGTGCTTCATGTATTCACTGAACCCTCGTTTTCACTGTAGCTACTAAGTTTTCTTAGCTAATTCTTTCACATCCCACTTCATGTGTATCCCTTTCTTTCCACTGTCTGTACCTTACTTTGGGCTCTCAGCTTCCTAGATCTAAATTATTAAAATAGTCTTCAAACTAGCCTCCCCATCCAATTTGCCCTACACATTTCTGCGAGCTGTTTTTCTTTAAATATCACAACACATGTCGCTCCTTTGCTAGAAAATGCGCACTGATTTCCTCTTTGGATGGAGTTCAAACACTCAAGTGTAGTAATCATGGTCCTTGAAAGGTGACTAATTGATTTCCCATCTTCATGACTTGGCCCACGGCTGCCTCTCTAAGTCACGTCTCACTTCCGGGAATGCCCAATTCCCTTGCCTGCTCTCTGCATTCTTACTGGAGGCCCAGCTGCAGTCTTGACTTCTTCAAAATCCTCCCTGGATAAACCCCAGCCTTCGGAACTCTGTAGATCATCCCGATCCTATCACTCATTTTCCTGAGTGCATGGTGTTGTTTTTCTTTTTCTCAGAAAGCTTAGTCTGTTTTATACCTGGTAGTATCCACAGTACCTTATTTAGGTGTTTATGACTATAGCATTATCATATAAAACACCTGCAAAGCATTCAAATTTCATTTAGATATAAGAACTGCTAACAGGTCTTCTTATTTATATAAATAGTTGACCCTTGATATCTTCAGATGACTAGAATTGCTTCATTGCTGGCTAAATGACTAGGCTCAAAAATCTCACAGAAAGATACTAGATCATTCCATATTCACATATGTATAAAGAATTAGCAATAATGAGACCAAAACGTGAATTCGTTGCCCTCATCTGACTCATTTTAAACTTTGCTTTATGAACTCCCAGTCATCTGCATAACTAATTGAAGTGTGCTAACAAGATACGGTGAAAGTACTTCACTATGGTCTAATGAGAGTAAAAAAGGCAGGAGTGTGTAGCTGTTTTCTGATCAATTTTCATCAACAGTTTTCTATCAATGTCCATACCTGCCCGTCAAGAGTTCATACATTAGGATTCCCAGTGACCAATAGTCGGCTGAAATGTCATGGCCTTTGTTCAGGATGATCTCTGGGGCTACGTACTCCGGAGTCCCACAGAAAGTCCATGTTTTCTTTCCAAATCCTATTTTCTTTGCAAAGCCAAAATCAACCTTACAAAGAGAGAAAAGCAAGAAGTTACTTTTAGTACACTAATAATAACAATGAACACAGATGTAAGATACAGATGACTCCTTTCAGAAGACAGGACTATATTTTAAACAAAAACTGCCTGATCAAACTTGGTTTCGATGGAGTAAGTTGAAATCTTAGTAAAGGATAAGATTCATGTCATCAAAAATAAAGGCACATTTTCTTTCTGGAAATACTTCCCATTTTTCCTTTGTTTATGCCAGTGGCTGTTGGGGCACAGCAAATACTTTCTCCTTTACTCAAAATGTTTAAAAAGACTAGTTGGACGTACATGACATTTCCCAGAGGATACATGATTTCTGCTGGATTTAATGAAATGATAACTTCATTTTGTATTAATTTAGAAAACACTTTACTAACAGCACAGTTATGAGACCAATGACTGCTCTTGGTAAACACAAACATAATAAAAATGAATGTTTCCTTCATTTTTCTCAGATTTTTGAAGGAGACTCAAATGCAGGAAATCTATTTTTTCCCTAAATAATTTGGTTGAGAATACAAATAATTAACTGACATTTTTTTTTTCTTTTAAAATATTATGCTGAATAAAAATTCTCAAAAAATTGAATCAGGTACTGACAAGAATGCACATTAAAATTATATATATATATAATATATATATAGTAAATAAGTTCTTATCTTCTATAACAAGTGTTGAGTTCTTGATTAATTTTTTTTAAAAAATATTATCACTACTATTATCATTAACATAGTTTGGATAAAATTGCCTGCAAAGCCCATTTTTAATTTGCATTATTCTCAAGTCTAAAATATTAAAATGACTCATAATTTTCCATAATATAAAAACCCATTCCCTTTGGATAGCAGGAAAGCCAGCTAGAAAAAGTACTTCTACGAAGCCCTTCGAGGTCTATGAACACGTGCCAGCAAGCATGAGTCCACTTCAGCATGTTTTGCCAGGATATTATGAATTCAAACCTAGCCAATTTAATTTCTCATAACTTGAAAGAATAGTTGGTTGAAAACAGTAACACAAAAACCTGCTTTTAAGAAAAGTTATAATATGTAAAAAGAAAAATGAGATTTTATGTTAGCAAATGAACACAGCTTCGTAAACCAGTGTTTTAAAACAACAGGGCGGAAAATGTGTCAAGTACACTGACCAATTTGGCGTAACCTCGGTGATCCAGGATGAGATTTTCTGGTTTGAGGTCCCTGTAGATGATTCCTTTGGAATGCAGATAGGCAAAAGCTTCTACCACACATGCTGTGTAAAATCTGGTTGTAGAGTCTTCAAATGAACCTCTGAGACACAGAAAATGAAATAAAAAGTATATCAGAAATTCGTTTCTCTAATAAGGTTTTATTGCTCATTTAATTCTATTCCTGAGCCAAAATCTGACTCCAGAGACCAAATCCTACTGGCCAAATGTCATAGGATCGCCATTGCATGGGGCTTGCAAAAGCATCGAGGATTAAGTCAAGGAATACTTTGCTCTTATGAGTAAAACAGTTCAGTCTAGTGTCCTGAAAACACTGAAGAAGAGTTCAAACACATGCCACATTTTATATACTTGGTGGCTTCCTCCCAATGGCCCACTACAATCTAAAGAAGAACAATTATAGTTGTGCACAGAAGAGACAAATCTTATTTAGAGCTTGTCTACTAAGGGATTTTTTTTTAAAGGGGAGTTTAAGAGTTTGTCACTTATTCATAGAGGGCTTATTTTTTAATCTTTCTAATATAGAAATGGTTTATGAGAATGTGAGTAGAAGTTAATATTTTCAAGGACCAATTTGGAAAGGAGTTGTGATGTTTCTGATACAATCTTATCACAAGCTAAGTATTCCGCTGTGTTTGAACTGATGTGAGCAAGACAAATAATATCTATTTCTACACTGTTGCCTTCTTTTTTTTTTTTTTTAATTGATTTTAGAGCAGAAGAGAGTGCGGGAGAGAGATAGAAACATCGATGAGAGAGAACATCGATTAGCCTCCTCCTGCATGCCCCCTACTGGGGATCGAACTGGCGACCTCTTGCTGCATGGATTGACACTGAGCCACACCAGCTGGGCTACACTGCTGCCTTCTTATTAGAAAGAAAACATGGAGCTAAAAGATAATTAGAAGGAAAATGGTAATTGGATGGGAAAGTTTATAAGTAACTTGGTTATGATGTTTAGCAGGAAACTCTGTCTCTACCTCTTGCATGTATTTATTTAATGAAATAATAATAAAGGGGGAAACCTTGGCATCTAAGGTTAACTCCTTGGTTCTAGGCCAGAACATTTATACTTTAACTATTTTTAATGGAATTCCTTTAAAAGATCGACTATGACTTTTCCCCCAGTAGTAAACACAATTGAATCATTTCATGATAACTCAAGAACATTAGTGTGAACACCCACTCTTGAGGTGGCTGAGGTGTAACATGAGAGACTAGTGCTCAGGCAGTTTTATGTAGGGTGCTATAAAGGGTGCCTTCAAGGGACTCACTGGGGCCAGTTTGAATTTTGATGACATTTGCTTCTATTTCAATACTGATAAGTAAAGTCTAATCCACAGGGAAGAGAAATAAGGCCGCTACTTTATAAAATTAATCAGTGAATCCAAGGCTAACACAGCTACCTTCAGGTCATTTTTTTTTTTAGAAATATAAGTGTCTTTCAGAAAAGTATTCTTCACTTCAACCCCTAATGTCTCCCGAGTTGTCACTGAAGTAATTAGCTCTTCCCACAAGAAATCTTTCTTTTGAAATACAATCTGAGGCATGATGATATCTCTTCTTGATATCTACAATATTAACCATGGTGACTAAGATTTTCGTATCTCTTTTCAACAATATCTGCATAAACCAACTGAATTATAAGGACAAGAAAAAGTTTGAGAAGAATGGCATCTATATTAGAAAATGAATATCATACTTTATGCTGCCACTGTCTTCTAACATGGAACTATTTTTGCAAAGTTAATGCTATATAACCCTGTGTATTGGGAAAGGGGTCAAAGTAGTACCTTTAAACTCCTTTCTTCTTTGTGCTTAATTATGTAGATTTGTCTAGCAAGAGTAATATATTTCTGCCCAGCCGGTGTGGCTCAGTGGATTGAGCATCAACCCATGGACTGTGAGGTCCCGGTTCAATTCCTGGTCAGGGCACGTGCCTGGGTTGCAGGCTATATCCCCAGTATGGGGCGTGCAGGAGGCAGCCGATTGATGTTTCTCTCTCTTGAAAATCAATAAAATGTATTAAAAAAAAACAAAACAAAAAACAGTATATTTCTTTCAACAGGTGAGATTATTTGCATTAAATAGTAAGCATCCATAATAGATCATGACTGATCCATATATGATAATAGATCATTAACACAGAGCTTTAACTACTTGAGTGCTGTATATGACGTCAATCCTCCACAATGGAGAGAACTGGAAAGCAAAGACCAAGCAAAACAACCCAGAACGGTACACAGAACAGAGCCTTGTCTTATTAAAATAAGAAAATGTATTACTTCTTTGCATCAGAACACTATAATTTGGGCAGGCCTTTTGAAAAGCCTACAAATTCTTGATTATTATTAGAAGAGATGATTTCTGCAGCTGTGACTTTGGGCAACATATCTGTTTTCCTTAATGCTCCATTGTTAATGGAACCAAATACATTATTAATGTTGGAAGCAGAATAATACTTATGTAAGAGATCAATTTCTCATAAAAGCTCTGCTGAAAGGTATTCATATTTATATTCTGGATAAGTTGATAATTAGCTGGAAGATGATAAAAACTTAATACAACTCACAGTCCTCAGAGGAGGCTACAGGTTAGGAATATGGACTCTGAAGCAATACTTCTGAGCTCAAATCTGGGTTTCACTTGCTGTGCAACTATACCTTTCTGGGTCTCAATGTTCTTCTCTGCAAAATTAAATTAATGTAGAAACCATCTCATTGGGTTGTCATAATCATACAAGAATCGATGCATCTATTTAAAATAAGTGCCTGGCATACATGATACTAAATAATAGCCATTACAATTGAGCACCAAAAAACTCTTCTTTAGCCTCTGCCTTAATGTAGGGAAATTGACTGATACAGGACAGGCCTGAAGTCTTTGAGAGATGGGAATGGTATGTTTACAACACTGATTATCAGTTACTGAGTATTTGCTGCTTCTCACTGCTAAAGCTAATTGCCACGAGTCAGCTTCGAAGTGTCTAATGCTAGTGTCTGTTACCTTTCACTTTTTCATGATTCTCACAAATGTATGGACAAAAATTACATTTATTGCCTGCCAATCAAAACTTCTTTTCATCAGGAAGTGAGCTGACCCTAAATCTTAAGGTCTTCAGTTCTTGTCAGCTCTGTGTGTTTCATGATTTCTCTTCTGAGACATTTTGAAATTTGGAAGGTTCTAAAAAGCCGGTTTCTATTCATTCAACAGATTTATATTGAGCTTCTCCCATATATAAATGTTCGTAAAGGCTTTTAAAAATCAAATGAAAACCTTGTCTCAAATATGTTTCCATGTTATGACACATCAGCATAACATATGAACCCAGAATATTTATCCACAACACAGTTTCATCGCTGAACTTCTGAGGTAGGCAACATGAGGATTTAAAACCCTTTCAGAAAGCAGTCACAAAGCATTTTATTAGCGTGACTCAAAATGAAAAATTACTTTTAGAATTTGAAATGACAATGTAAATGTGAACTAAAACATTAATGAAAGCTTGTTTTATCAACACTTAGAAAGTGGCTGAAAGAAATCACTGCCTCATAGCTTTTTGAAATAATAAATTAAACCTTGACAGCTGTATCATTTCAATTAAAACAAGTAAGGGATGACAGGTTCTTAGACCCTTTTAGGAAATATGTAGTTATTTTAGCTAGGTGGCAGTATATAACAATTTACTGAGAGAAGTAGATGTTATGTATACACATTGATGGATACATTTTAAATTTAATCACAATGTCGCCCTGGCCAGTTTGGCTCAGCGGTTGGAACGTCCACCTGCGGACCAAGTGCACGGACCTCAGCTGCAGTTTGTCACCGGCCCTGGCCGGGTTCGTGCGGGAGGCAACCAGTCGATGTGTCCCTCTCACCCTCCATGTTACTCTCTCCCAACTCTATCTTAAAATAAATAGAAAAATATCCTCTGGTGAGGATTAAAAAATATAAATAAAATCAAATTTGATCACAATGTTTAATCCCCTTGTTCATAAACTGAGTCCTGAAATGGCAGACTGTAACAAAGACAAAGCATTACTCACCCAGAGTAAGTTTCACCGTCACTGTTAACAATCACTAGTGAGTATATAAACATGAAGTGTCTTACAACCTATGTGGGTTTCTTGCTGATTGTAAAATTTGGCAGGGAGTGTAAATAAGTATGAAAATAGACTCATCTCCTTGAAATACTTTAAATCTGCACCATCTATTACAAGATCATTTCAGATGGAATATTAACAATCACCCTCCATACGACTTCCGGTCAAGATAGGAGAATGCTGTGCTGACCTCCTCCCTGACCACATCAAAATTATAGAACCACCATCATGGAGAACCACCTGAAGACTAGCTGAACACACGTCCTGTAGCTAAGGATATAAAGAAGAAGTCACGCCCTGGCCGATTTGGCTCAGCAGCTAGAGTAGCAGACTGAAGGGTCACAGGTTTGATTCACATTGATATTTCTCTCCCTCCCTCCCTTCTACTCTAAAAAAAAAAAAAAAAAAAAAAAATGGAATAAAATATCCTCTGGTGAGGATTAACAAAAAACTATTAAAAAGCCATGACAAGACTAGTAGGAGTGGCCGAGACAAGGAATGGGCAGGTCCCACACCCAAGTATGGCGATTAGGAATCAGGCGGGCTATCTGGGCTGTGGAGGTCCCTCTTGAGGAAGTAGGGGGCCCACCCCACACCCAGGTCACCTGTGTCAAGAAGAAGAGTCCCTATGACATCTGGCTATGAAAACTAGTGGGGACTGCATTCTGAGTGAGACGGGGCTGTGAACGGATCTGCTCGCTCACTAGCGTTGGGCTCCAGTGCACCAGCTGACAGAGTGCCAGGAACATATGAGCGGAACTAAATTGACAGGCTGGAAGAGCAGGGGTTGGAGTGGCTGTCTCTGGAGACCAAAGTGCTGGCAGGCAAGTGCCAAATACAAGGTCTCTATTAATCTGGATAACACCACTCTCCCCACCCTGGTGATTCCCTGAGACCCTGCCATACCCAACTCACATGTCTGGCTAAACCTCTTCCAGTGGCTACCCTACACAAGTGGCCTGTTTCGGCTCATGCCACAGACTTTCTCTCAAAGGCCCACAAACCCCAAACAAACAGCAGCCAGACTGTGCATACCCTTACTTCTTGCTAAGTGCTCTCAAGCCTGGTACAAGTGGCGACCAGTCTCACTTTGCATTGTAACTCCCATTAGGTGGCCCCAAGCCTGGCCTAAGCTGCGGCCACTGTTGGCCTAGAGCATAACTTCAACTAAGTGGCCATAAACCCAGCAAAATATATGGCTTGGGAGCACAGTACTCATGCAGCCAGCCTTTGGTTCACAGTATTTTTTCCCAAATGCCTTCAAGTTCATCACTAGCAGCAACCACTGCAGATCACTTTGTAGCTTCCACTGGGTGGCCCCAAGCTGGGCACAAGCAGCAGCTGACTTTGGTGTGCACCAGAGCCCCCCTGAAGAACCTCTACAACCAACACTCCTGGTGGCTGGCTTCAGACCATACCAGAGCACCACCTCACTAGCTCCACAAACCCAAAGGGTGGACTAGGCTGGCACCAGAGCCTCACTAAAGAAATTCTTGCTCCATGGGGTCACCTCCTGCACAACAGCTTGTCCTCTGTAGTAATGGCCAGCCCTCACAGTCAGCCTGAGAATCAATCCCCCCATAAATGTGGCCCAGACACAAGGGACACCCCTAGAACACCAGGCTGGAGAGACCAGAGAGACTGCACAATTGGGCCCTACAGGACACCTACTGCCTAAGGGCATTCTGACAAGAACAGGAAATGTAGCAAATCTGCCTCACACAGAAACAAACACAGGCAGTCAGCCAAAAGGGCAGACAAAAATGTTTCAAATGAACATACAAGACAAAACTCTAAAAAAAAAAATAAGAGAAATGGAGACAGGTGATCTACCAGAATCAGAGTTCAAAACACTGGTGATAAGCATGCTTAATGAAATTAGGGAAGAATAGATTTTTAAAAATGAGGACCGTTGGAACAACATCATGGATACCTACATTCATGTCATAGGAGTAACAGAACAAAAAGAGTTCAAGGGACTGAACACCTTTTGAAGAAATAATGACAAAAACAAACAAACAAACAAAAAACTCTAACCTGGTGAAAGAAATAGACATACAAGTCCAGGAAGCACAGAAAGTCCCAAACAAGATGAACCCAAAGAGGCCCACACAAGACTCATCATAATTAAAATGCCACAGGTTAAAGACAAAGAGAATCTTGCAAGCATTAAGAGAAAAGCAGTTAGTTACATTCAAGGGAGCTCCCATAAGATGGTCAGTTGATTTCTCAACTGAAACTTTACAGGCCAGAAGGGAGTGGCATGAAATAGTCAAAAAATAAGTTGAAATTGAATGCCTGTGCAAGACATGCCTCATGAGTGGACTTTGGATCAATTTTTGTTCTTGTCTAGTTTAATAAGTTAATAGAAGTTTAAAATTGATGTTCCTTTCTTTATGTGGCTTATTACTGCTTTCATGTTTACTTTTACCTATAAATTTCCTAATTAGAACAAAGTAGAGATTTCAAATAAATCAGTGGATTGAAAGGTCAGGTCAAAATAATATAAGTAGAAACATATTAGAATAAACCAGACATTAACTCACAAATGAGAATATTAAGTTTGTGCAAGAGCCTGTAAGTTCTGAGAAGTGGGACCACATCTGCTTACCCTTGTATCCCAGCCTCTATCAAACTGCCTGGTGCATAATCTGTATTCAGATATTATTAACTAATAATATAATAATCCACTATGATATAATAACTTGGTACAGATGTTAACCTAGTTGCCTAATGCCAACATGATGCATTCTCTTGTATGCTCAGTTACCTTCTAAAAACACAATTAGGAATGAGACTAAATCAATAACTTGCAAAGAACCACTTGTTCTATTCTGGGATATCTATAAAGTAACAAGTTGTCCAAAAATAAATAACAGTTTTCTGGGAACATCAAGGCCGATTATAGCAGAGTTTCAGAAAGATAGTGAGGAGAGAGACTATAACAAAGAGAAAAAAGGAGACATCTAAAGCTGAATGTTCAAAGGAACAAGGATGATTTTTAAATATTTTTAGATCATTAATAGAAAATGATCAAAAGATCACTCACAGGAACAGAAAATTATGGTTTTTCTTTGAAGTAAACATTTAGGGTGGGTAATAATCTCCTGAGACATTTTATAGAATATATTTTTAAAAAGAAATTTTTTTGCTAATTACATAAATATGAGATAGAAAATTAATTCTTGTAAAATTAAAAGAAACAAATAAGCACTAACTAGACCAACTTTACTTTCCCTGCAAGGACAAAAAAGAAGTACTTATAAATTAGATTGTTTACATGTAATACTGCTTATAACTAGACTCATTTTTTTCCTAAAACCAGCTAGGGCTTGAGAGGGATGGTTGGAAACTTTTGTTAATTTTGAAACCAAAGAGTCATGTAAAGGTGAAGGAAAAAGTTACTTGGCAAAAATTCTCAATGTCAGGAAAGGCACACTGCCCACCTGGAGAAGGAATAAAGCAAGTAAACTGGTAGTTCATGCAGACTGCGATGTACAATAACACTAATTCTCCTCATGGGATAGTAATGAATTGGATTCTAGGTAGATGGTTGTCTGATTCGTCAGAATTCATTTAAACTGAGGTCTTTATACATACCTCACTAGGTACCATTTTTATTGTGCAGTAAGCCTATGTCAATAGTTACAAATCTGAAACACAGTGAAGTTCGTATTTATAGTAAATCCTATGTGCCTAGTGGGTCGTGTCCATATTTGTTACATTTGGAAACATAAGCACGTGTAAAATGTAAATGTGATTTTCGTACTTTATAATCATTGACTCTTTTTACAGACCATCATAGTCAATTACATTTTTGAAGACATGATAGAAATTTCTTAAAACTCCTACCTATCCCTGAGAATGGTCCAGAGCTCTCCACCTAGGCAAGCTTCCATCAACATATACAAATATTTGCTGTCCTTAAATGTTCTGTATAGTCTGTGAATTGCAAACGACAAAAAAAAAAAGTTATAAACATTATCACCTTTCAAAACCATGTGAATGTTTCGAGTGCCATGACTGGAATCTTAGTCTTGATTTGCTAAACTTGACGTTTTGTTAAAAAGATGAGACAGACCTGAATTTGCAAATAGGGAAAAGGAAGTAATGGCTCAGGACTAAGATTCATTCCCTGTCCGGGGCTAGTCTCTCCTTTGAAATGTATCAATCCTCGTGATTATGGACAAAGAGGGCTTCTTCGAATTTCTTCAATTACAATTTGGTTGACGTTTTAAGCATGAATTCTTGAGCAATATTTAGTGGTTATAAACATGCAGTGTACATAGATATAAAGTAAATTATGTTTTACAAATATAATATATGAAATTTGTGCATCCACTTACGTTCATACTATACCCTGTTTTCAGCAAATGCCACGGGCAAGTTAACTAGAAAAGTTTCTACATGTAAACAAACTCTCCATTATGCTCTTATCAGTGCTCTGAAAAAACTGAGGTTGAATAGTCATTGCATTAAAACAAACTTTTTAAAAATATTCAAACACTTAAAGGTAAAATAGTTTGATTTTTGATATTTTGTCTTTCAAGCTTTGGAGTAACGGAGAGGATAAAAATGAAATGTTTGACACTCCGATTTCCCCTTCGGGAAAAACATGTTCTGTTGCCAGAATCTGATTCTCTTTGAAAAAAAAAAAAAAAAATCAAACTTTTTTTGTTTTTTGGCAAATACTTTCTTAAAATCGGATTTAAAATGTTTCTGGTGTGAGGGAATGGGTAACGGTGAGTGCAGCTGGCAGCCGGTTTTCTGGTTGGTTTGGGCCTGGAGCGGGGACTTGGGTCGCGGGGGGGATCTGTACCTCACGATGAAGTCGGAGTGAGCCGCCTGCATGATCTGCTTCTCCGAGCGGATGTGCTCCTGTTGTCTAGTGTCCACAATGTGGCGTTTCTTGAGAATCTTCATTGCAAAGGTTTTGGATTCTTCACTTTTCAATTGGACCTTAAAGAAAGGCAGAGGGAGTGAGTCAGAAAATGCCTGTAGAGTTCACATCACAGAGTGCACCCCGACCACCGCTCAAGTCCCAGAGTCCATCCTCGCTGGGACTGGGTTTAAAGTCCAGGGCTCACAACTGTCTTCTAATCTCATTCCACTAGATCAGGTGAATTCTTATTTAATTGCATTCCCAAATAATGTGGTGCCCACTTGAATCAGAAGAAGGGAAATGTACTTGACTCTCATTTAATTACTGCATTTCATAAAATGTATTTGAGCATATTTGATCGTTTTTCTTTCTCCATCAAAAAGGTAGAAATAAAATCTAATTTCTCCATTTTTACTTCGAGTGTGGCAAAGGTAGGATTATATAGTCTTTTTTTACTCTATTTTTGTTACAGATGTTTCTCCTTTTTTTCCCCATTGACACCCTCCTCCCCATCCCCCTGACCTCGTCCCCAGCTTTGTTGTCCATGTCCATTGGTTATGCGTACATGCATATAAGTTCTGTGGTTTATCTCTTCCCTCCCCCCACCATCCCCTCTTCTGAGGGTTGTCAGTCTGTACCCTACTTCCACATCTCTGGGTCTACCCTATTCCTCAGGCTATTATGTTCATTATATTACACAAATAAGTGAGATCATGTGGTATTTGTCTTTTTCTGCTTGGCTTATTTCGTTTAGGATAATACTTTCCAGGTCCCTCCATGTCTTCTCAAAGGATAAGAGATCTTTCTTTCTTACCGCTGCATAGTACTCCATTGTGTATATGTACCACAGCTTTTTTATCCATTCGTCTACTGATGGACACTTGGATTATATAGTCTTATTTTTTTTTTTCCATTTTTCGTTCAGATTGAGTGAGAGAGAGAGAGAAACATCGACGTGAAAGGGACACATCAAGTGGTTGCCACCCGCACAACCCAACCAGGGCCGGGGACAAACTGCAACCAAGGTACATGCCCTTAGCGGGAACCAAACCCGGGTCTCACGCTCTAACCGCTGAGCCAAACTGGCCAGGGCGGATTATATAGTCTTGATGCTCTTTCTTGTTCGTCCTGGACCACAAACATTTCAAAATTGGTAAAAGTATGTATTTTTATTTCTTCTCTTTTAACCTCTAGTCTTTCCATTCCCTCCAATTACCAAAAGGAGAAAAAGTGTAGCAAGATGTTTTTCGAGAGATTAAAAAAAATTTTTTTTTAAAACATAAACTTTACTTTTTTCAAAATGGCCTTTTCTCAAGGATCTAGTAATAGAAAGAAAAGAAATTCTGGTACCTAGAGATAAGTTAGACCTGTTACATATTTTGGAGGAGGGGAAAGGAATGATTTAGATTTATCATTGTAATAATAGAATGTGGCTGTTTATTTCAAAACCTTTCGAGAATGTGTTCCACAAGAGTTTTCCTACCTTCCTGACAATGATGGACAGCTGAAAAGAGGGGAGAGTCTGCACGTTAGTCCTTCTAATCATATATTAAGTATCCTGGATGTACGGGAACTCCCTCTTTACAGAAATTCTTTGATAGTCTCACATAGGATTTTTGATGTGTGGCAGAATTGCACAAGTGAAACTTGCATTATTTTGTTAAACAGAATCACCCCCATAAATTCAATAAAAAGGAAAAAAAAAATCACAGCTAATTAGATGCCTTCCCATTGGGACATATCTAGGGAAATTGATTTTAAAAATAGTTCAAGAGATTTTCAGAACTTCTTTTTCTTTGTAGCTACGCAGGATAGCTGTAGTCCTCTTGGACCTCAAACCTTACTCCTGAGGTGGACTGTTCGGGAGTCCTAAGCCTTAATGTCCGCAAGGCCTCCTCGCTTCAGTTGCAGCCCCACATGGCTCCCTGGGGTTCTGGAGACCTCAGCCAGGCTGCTGGCCTGTGTTTATTGTTTTACAAAAAATTTCAACAAGGTGACTTGTCATGAAAAAGCAAGATAATTGAACTAATCACTGAGTAGCAATATTAAAGTTATCCTCTAGGGCTCGCCAGCAACAGAATCCTCCAGATAATGCCGAACAGCCCACATTGCTCAGAAATCCTTGAGGCAATAATACGACAGGCTGTTTGTTTCTGCTTTTCAGCTGAAGTATCGCCCTCCTCTCTTTGGTTGTGAATTGCTTATACCTCATTTGCAGGGATAACAAAGTTCTTGAGTGTCTTGTTCATACACATGTGTACAGGTCAAATTCAGTTTGACTCAACGTGGCAAGTTCTTGAGAAGAGAATAGGAGGGCACTTCACAGAAATGGCCCTCAGTTTGCTGCCAGCATCTGTGAATCCACGTGACCGGTCAGAGGGGAAGAACGGAGCATTGAACATGCCTTGAGGCCCAGCTGGTGTGGCTCGGTTAGTTGAGCATTGTCCCATGCATCAAGAGGTCAACTGTTGGATTCCTGGTCAGGGCACATGCCCGTGTTGCGGCTTCAATGCCCAGTAGGGGCGAGAAGGAGGCAGCCAAAGGATGTTTCTCTGTCATCAATGTTTCTCTCTTTTCCTCCCTCTCTCTCTGAAATCAATAAAACCATTTTAAAAAAATTCCTTAAGCCAAAGGACTCAACTCCATCTGTGAAACTCGTTAAAATGACTGATAAGCCCTGGCCAGTTTGGCTCAGCGGTTAGAACGTCAGCCTACAGTCCAGAGAGACCCGGGTTCGGTTCCTGCTGGGAGCCCGTGCCTCTGTTACAGTTTGTCCCCGGCCCTGGTTGGTGGTGCGGGTGGCGACCACTCGATGTGTCCCTTTCACGTCGATGTTTCTCTCTCTCTCTCCCTCCCTCCCACTCTATCTGAACAAAAAATGGAAGAATGTCCTCGGGGGAGGATAAAAAAAAAAAATGATAAGTGTGATACAGATGAATTCAGTTGTAGTTCATAACTACACAATGTAAAAACCTGCTTCTAAAAGAAATTTGGACAGGTAGGAAAGATGACCTGAAAAATGAGCCCTGTGACTCAAATTTAGACGAGAAACCAAATCATATTCCTCCTTAGAGTCTTAGTTAAATGACTGAAGGTGCTATGTAGTTCACACACCTAGACTAAAAATATTCTGTTTAGTTATTATCACACACACTTTTCCTGTGCACCAGGTGGGAGGAAAGAACTCAGCCCGTAGGGTCACAGGTCTGGACTGAAATCCTGACTTCAGTTAAAGTCTCTCTGTCTCTTACAGAGCTATTGTGACCTTAAATGAGAAAGTGCCACCAAATGGGCCTTCATTGGTGATCTCTCTTCTCTTTAAATCAAAGCCAGGTCATGTCACTACTTCTTTGCTCAAAGCCCTCCAGTGGCTTCCCATCTCTTTCATGTCAAAGTAAAAGCCATCACAAAGGCCTACAAGGCCCTGTACCATCTGGACCCATGAACCTCACTTCCCCCTTACTTTCTCTGTGGGGGTCACAATGGCCACCTTGCTGGCCCTTGAGTACACCAAGCAAGCTCTTGCCTCAGGCTATTCGCTTGTGCTATTCTTCTGCCTGAATATTCTCTCAGATACCCTCAGGGTCACCCTCTCAGTTCCCAGAGTTCTTTGCTTAAATGTTTCCTAATCAGAGAGTCTCTCTTCACACCAGTCTACATAAAAAGGGAACCGCCCACTTCTCCCTTTTTAGTGTTCTCTCATCACAAGCTAGTACACTAAACAATTTCTTGATTACTTGTTTAGTATTGGTCTCCTCTCACAAGTCGGGAATCAATCTGAGATGGATGATTGTTGTTGTTGTTGTTTACTGTGTCTGACATAGCCAACAAATAATCAAGAGTATTTGCTCTAAGTGAGTCAAAGAAAGAATGAAATAAACATGATGATTTATCACTGGCAAAGCTATAACAGGGCTGACATCTCAGCTCTACCCTGGACATCTGGGAGTTTGACGGGCAAACGGGAAGCTACAATGGCAAGCATGTAGTGCTTGGTCTATTTCTTCTTGGTCTAATTATGCATAAACGTGAAGAAAAGATTTCTATGTGTTAATGCTGTACAGGAACTATACATAACAAAATTTCTACATTAGCCCTGCATTTTCAACTTTAATTTTTACAAGGTGTTTTAACCTTGTTTTTACCTTGAATGACTAATGTGATATTTTCAATTATAGAGACTTACTAGATTAATAAAATCTTCTTTAGGATAATGTCCATTTGGCTGCCAACTACCTCTTGAGGTCAGTTAACTCTTAGGACTATAGTCATCTTTTTAAACTCTATTTTCCTAGCTTTCACAACTCATCAGTTCTCCTCTAATTAATAAATTCTATGATTCCAAGTGTATTTATAATTTTTGTTATAACTACACCCATATGTTTAACTTATTTCACTCTAGCCAGGATTTTAGGTTGAAAATTTTACCTACTTTAATATTTCTTAGATCGTTTTAAACTATATACTAGGAAGAATTTAGGGAAATAAGTGAAGCCATCAGAAGGAAGTCAAAGAGAAAGAGGGGAAAACCATCATTAAACATAAACTGTTGGGCACGTCCATAAACATGATTTCATTTACTCCCAACATCACCTTTTCATGGCAGAAGGAGGGTTACATTTTGTATTTTTTTACAAATACTTTCTAATCAATAACAACAGCTAATGTTAATGTTCTTATTTGGTGTCAGGAGCAGTGTAGTAGATGAGTTTCCTTTTTTTTTTTCTTTTAAATTTTATTCTTGTTACAGATGTTCCCCATTGGCACCCCCTCCCCACCCCACCCCCACCCCGTCCCCGGCTTTGTTGTCCATGTCCATTGGTTATGCGTACATGCATATAAGTTCTGTGGTTTATCTCTTCCCACCCCCACCACCCCCTCTTCTGAGGGTTGTCAGTCTGTACCCTACTTCCATGTTTCTGGGTCTACCGTATTCCTCAGACTGTTATGTTCATTATATTCCATATATAGTGAGATCATGTGTTATTTGTCTTTTTCTGCTTGGCTTGTTTCACTTAGGACAATACTTTCCAGGTCCCTCCATGTCATCTCAAAGGATAAGAGATCTTTCTTTCTT